ATGAATTCTCCTGATTCGGGCAGCGTTAGATTAAAATGGAAAAGGTTCGTGTCCATTCATCGGAAGGATTTCAACACAGTGGGAAAATTTGCTGTGTGCTCGGAGCATTTTACAAGGGATTGTTTTACGCTTGCTTTTCCGATGAAAGGCATGAAAAGGAATCTGAAGAAGGAGACGTTTCCAACCATTTGGAAAAAATCCTCTCAAACACTATCAAAGCGGAGTCGACGATCGGTGAGTGAAATTACAATGTATTTGCGCTGTGCTTATCACCATTATATTTATTTCCCCATTTACCTGTGACATGATTTTTTCTGGCATCGTTGTTCAATATTCGTGTAATGAATGCTCTGACTATTTGGACTTCCCATATTGTTGCATGTGTTTTCATACTTTTCTGCTTTCTTCTCATAGTTATAGTAAAACGGGCATTTGCGCTGAGTGGACGTGAAGTCAATTTCCCAATTCCCAGACCTTTCCACTCAAGCGTAAAATTTAGAAAAAGTGAAGCTACATAGAAATCCGGCTCTCTATTTTTTGAGAGATTATCTTGCTGTTACTTTGAGATTTGACAGTACTCCAAACTTCCCTCCAAAATGGACTAAGTCTGATTTCTACATTCTATAAGTTCAGTTACTGTTTGCGGTTTTTTTTCGTTTGTACTTTAATTCTATTTTCACTGTCTGCAAATGAAGCATACATTTTAAGGCAAAGATGGGGTTAAACCTTGCTTCCATTTCTACTTTTGAAAACATCGACGTAAAGCTCAAATTTAAACTTGTTTTGAAGGGGAGATATAAAAAATGGTCGTACCTATTTTCATTTTTAGCTGCTAAATGAAATTCTGGCTGGTCAAACTACTCATGAGGATGCAGAGGAAGAAGACAATCCTGAAGAAGAGGTGATCTCCTGTACTAAATCTATCACTGTTTCCCCACACCCTTTACATATTGAAACTGTGTGCTTATATCCAACATATTTCCTGTAGGGTGCACAATAGGGTTGGGCATGCATGATTTTACATGAAAAACACAAATTAACTCTAACTTGTTATAAGAAATTTGTCCATGCTTTTCTCAAAAAAGGTATGATTAATCGCAATCCAACAGAGAAGGAAGGGTAAGCCTTGCTGGAAGCAGTGAAATATTGTTTCAACATGAGAAGAGAAATTTCATATTTCCGAGCGGCCATGCAATATGTTCCATTTATTTTATACCACTGAAATACTTAACCATTTCACTTATTAAATGAATAATTTTTTTTCTGTAAAAGGTGTGCGTTGTGATATTGTACCATAGCAGTGGTGATCTTTTCACATGCAAAGTAGACTACGTGTAGTCCCCCATTTTCTCTCAGGGATAGTAGAGCGAGCGAAACGCGAGCGCGCGTAAAAATCACCCCACGCGAGAAAAGGCGCGCGTGGGGTGATTTTCACGCCCGCTCGCGTTTCGCTCGCTCTACTATCCCTGAGGAAAAATGGGGGACTACTCGTAGTTTACATGCAAAGATAACTTACTTGTTATTTTGACATGTGAAGATATCATGTTTTCGAACACAAGCTCACGCAATATTTCATTGGCGTTTATAAAAATATGATAAAAAGCATATTTCTTTTATTTTTCTGAATTGGGCCCTTATGGAAGAGATCTAGAATCATCCAGCTTCAATTTCTGTCTACAGCTGGTTGATGTGTGAAGTGACCAGCACTCATTTATGTAATGTTTTATATAGCTTTTTATCACTTAATGTTTTTTACTAAGTATTTTACAAAACAAATAATAATTCAATATTGCTCAGGTTTAAAACTTCAGCTGTTCAATAACTTCATACATTTTGCATCCTTGTAATGTCAGTTTCAATGTTATGCCTACCGCCTACCAGTATGTTTCTTTTAATAATTCTACTCAAGTGTAGCTCATATTATAGTTACCATTAAAGAACGAAGCATATACTTGTGTACTGTCCTCGTTTCGCAGGGCTTTTGCCCCGTTTCATAGCTTTACCGTGCTTGTTTTGACTCGTGGCTTTAAGCGTGCCAGTCCGTCTCGAATAAAGGGCCTGGGGGACTTAGGGTTTAAAGAACGAGTTATGTTAGGTGGGTACCGTGCTTGTTTCGACACGTGGGTTTAAGAACGCGTTATGCCATTCGCGTAGCGTGCTTGTTTCGGCTCATTGCTTTAAGAACGAGTTATTATTTTTGTGTAGCGTGCTTGTTTTGACTCATCGCTTTAAGAACGACTTATGTGTACCGACGTCCGTGCTTGTTTCGACTCATGGCTTTAAGAACGAGTTCTGTTGCCTGTTAGGCTTGCCATTCTCGACTTAGGGCCTAAAGAACGAGTTATGTTACACGTTCAGTGTGCTTGTTTTGACTCGTGGCACGACTAGACTTCCTGAGATTCCATCGGAATCGATGTGTTTCCAATGGATCCGATGGACTCCATCGGACGACTTTCCAACCCTCCTCTAAGTATTGTTTACACTTCCGGTTTCATGTCATGACTAAACTTCCGGTAACTCAAGTGGACTCTACTGAACTTCCGGTTTCATTTTTCGACTAGACTCCGTCGGACTCCAGGTTTTGTCCACTGGAATCTGGTCGAGAGTATTGGACATGTGTGTCTGCACCTGAGGAGAGTGCTGACACTATGGGGGCTCCCAATCTCAAGTCAGGGTTCTTTGCTTGAGGTAAATCCTGAAAAGGGGGCTGCATCCCTGAGACTGAGACGGGTGAGATAAGTGTTGATGCTGAGATGGCTTCAGAGGTCCTAGGTACTCCTGGTGATAAGACAACTCTCGAGAGCCAAGGGATTTCTGGCACTGATGAGGTTACTGAGACCATGCAGATCCTGGAGGCTCAGGAAATCGAAAAACTGCAGGATATGGATGAAGTTATGCAGATTGATGAATCATTAACGATTCCTGAACTTGAACAGGTTTCTATGGTAGGCGCATAACTCTAATTACTGTTTATTTGCATCTTTGTATTATCATAACAATGGAAAACTACATGTGCAGTTATTTTACAACAATACTAAAACACAAAAATTCTGAAGTCTTGTTATTACAGCCTGTATTAATGTTGAAAGTTTGTTTTTTGTAGGATACTCCAACTGGACATGCTGGGAACTGCACAACATGCAAAACCCTGAGGAGTGAGGTGACTCAGTTAAGGGGCAAAGTCACAAGACTGAAGAGTAAGTTAATCTCCAATCAAGATCAGTGGGTTGAAACCTTTAAGAGCATACAAGAGCCGAAGCAGTTGCTGATGGTGAATGCTGGTGAGTCAACAATAATTATTGATGTTGTATATTTTTGTTACATTTTATCAATATTTGATTATTTAATAATAATTAAAATTTTAATGGTAATAGAATTTTTTTAATTCCATTTGTTTAAGCTATTCAAACTGATCCATGGCCAGTAACAAATGAGACAGAGTTAGGGCTAGAGGATGAATCAGAAGATGAGCAGGAAATGCAGGACGACGCGTATGAGGAGTTTGAGTGTGATGAAGACCCTACATGGAGTCCTGAAGAAATCGAAGATGCATATAAAAAACTAAAGGAAGATGATGACTCGGTGAAGACTCATCAGAACCCAAGGTACAAAGATGCAAAATTTATTGCATTTTAACATCTTAGCTCTAAGTATCCTCTGGGAAGTGATTTAGGCCTAAAACTAACTTCCATTATCAGAGGATCTATTTAGAAACAAGAGTACATGAAATTTGTTTTTTGATTTACTCAGATAAGAATCAAAAAAAAAAAAAAAAAAAAAAAAGAAGAGGCATAGCCAGCCCATAGACTGGAAGTCCCAGGCCTAAAAATGTTTGGTTTGTCAACTCAACCACTTGTAATAAATTATGCATCGTTGGGGTGGGCTAGATAGCTTAAGGGCTCAAAGTTGTCATGTGTGCAATCAACAGAATTATTATAAAAAGCATTTTTCAGGATGTATGTGAGAATAAAATCCCAACCCACGATTAGCCAGGTTTACAACAAGTTGAAAAACTGGCAACACCCTGAGAAAAACAATAAAAATGATAATCATTTTTTTTATTGTTATTTTATTATTTCAGATGCTATGATTAAATGAGTATTTCCCTTCAATCATTTTTTACAGGTTGGATCTACAAGGAAAAAAAATTCGAGAGGAACCGAAGGGAATTGTTTTCCTTTGCAAACTTCTTCTTTTGTTTCAGTTCTGCCACTTGTACTTCTTTTCAAAACCCAAACTTTCTGTATCACAGACAGGTACCTTGTTTACCGTAGAAAGTTTCTGCAGAAACTGTAGCCAGACAAAAGTCTGGAAGAGTCAACCAGACCTGCTAGGAAAGTTTCCAGCAGGTAACCTGCTATTAAGTTTTGCAGTGCTCTGTGAGCCGAGTGAAAAGAAAGAAACGATACATTAAAACTGTAATTAAATTCAGGCTGAATTCGATTTAATTTTTATTACTTGTGTACATGAAAATTGGAGCAACATCAGAATTCCCAGCCACTAAACTTGAGTTTAACTGAACGCTAGAAGAACAGGGCTTCACACAGTGGGCAAGTTTGTCGTTCAACAAAAAGCGAGTAAGTGGCTGAGAATTCTGAAGTTTGGCCCATAAAATTAAGTGTTTACGGACAAGTATTCACGCAACTACTGTAGGTCCTTCTTGGCCCCAATTGGCATACATGACACTCTTCAAGAACAAACAGTGCATTTATTATTCATTTTCTTCATCTTCGAATCCACGATAATGGCCATTTTGACTCGGAAATTGTTTCCTGATTTTATTGTAGGCACAACAGGGCAAGGGGTATCGCCTGGAACTACCAATATAACTCCACAGCAGTCTTGTAAATTGGCGATAGGCCACAGACCTCAGGAATCTAGTTAGAGAAATGAGATCACTGTTAATTCAAGGAGGGATTGGATGGAGATAAATAAATACTCCTTTTAAAAATAAGCAGTTGGGGCAATAAAGCCATTTAGAAAATAAAAAATGTGATTCTATGAGATCAGTCTACGGCGATAAGCTTAGATGTATCAATTATTCAATGCTATGTACGGTTCGATCGTTCCGATACAAAGTCAACAATACCCCAACTTACTCATTATCACTTTTGTTGCTTTGCCCACGAACAGTTGTGTACGACTTTCCAGCTCGCGTTTTTAGGCCCAGTGCAGCCACTTCTAATACGTGGCGGTTTAAGCAGACGCTTTCAAACCCTGGATGGAGGGTTATGCATCAGGTCCGGTCTCCAATGGCGTCTTCCATGACCTCTTCGCAGCGATCGATCTCTTTGCAGCAAATGCACTCCTGCGCTTTTGTAACAAGGCTGACAGAGCAGTTCGAGCACCAACACCTGCAAAATAATGTGAAAAATTCGTCAAACACAAAAAAAATACGTCTGTATAAAATTATTAATTGTCTGACCTCTTCAATAAAACTATCGCATAAAATCAGGACTACAGTTAATCACATAGCAACGAAATTGTAAACTTAAACAAAACACAGTCGCGTTCCTCACGCGCACGATTTAACGACGGGTATGTTGAAATTGGAAAAAAAAATATAAATCTACATTCCATGATAATACCATACCATTCATTCGCTGGCACCTCTCCCGAATATCTTCGCTGAAACTGTTGTTCCTCTTCTTCTTCGCGATGAACTCTTTCGTTGTAGTCCGCGGCTTCTTCCTCGGTAGCAAGGGGTTCGCAACTGTCGTCGTACGGCGCAAATTCAGACAATTCCCCCATCACTTCGTCAACTGTAAAACTTTCTAGACCACTTTCAGATGTACAGGAAGAGGAATCCGACGGAGATGACATCTTAAACGTCTTGTTAAAAGGCTCTAAACTCACAAACTTTTCCCAAATGGGAATCTTTTGGTTGATGTTTCTACGTCACAGTGCATAACTCACGTGGTCAAACGCACGACCGCTTTGCGGAGGTCTCGCGGGCTACTGCTTTGCGAACTTTGTAATGGCGGACGG